CCAAAAGCACAAATTTGCTTGTTAGACTGTGTGTTTCTACCAGGGTGTTATTTGGTTGCCTGGCTTTTCCTTTGTTTGTGTTGTCATCCATTTGCCAGTTTCTGCCCTTACACGCCTTGCAAATGCCACAAGCTGTGATTCTATTCACTGTTGCTAGATATGATTAGTTCATCATAACATTGTAAAACTCAGCATATGCTTATTAGGCCTGACTTTATTGTAGCACGGCAGTGCAAAATGGAAGATGACAGTCTGCTTCCATTTATAGGCATGTAGTCTGATCATCGTGTTTGATGGAATGGATTTAAGGGTTTTTGTTGTATTCTGTTCAGCTGTGACAAAGTGCTTAAAGTTGCAAACATCCAGTCCTGCAGTAGGAGAGAGTGGGGGAGCCTAACACATTTTGGTTTTTGCTTAGTAATTTTAAAAGTATTTGAGCAAGATTAATGGCTTTTTTATACAAGCAACCCACACATCTCTGCTACAAATGAAAACATGAAAATTCCAGCACCTACCATTCGCAAACAATTTAGAATAACTCAGAACAGTTGAGCGGAAAGTGGCAGGAGTGCAAACTTACCCCGTAGGAGGGTTAATTGTAACAGACAGGGCTGGTTGTAACCTGCATTAAAAAGTCAGTAAAAATAATTGCAAATCACAATTAATGTGGTAAATTTACCTTTGACAGCAAGGTGCAGTAGTTTATTAGTAAATATTTGATTAGTCTGCAAAGAAAACCTCTAAAAATGAACAGTTTGAATTTAAATGGAAGAATATGGACTTCTCTCTTTGTTTGCTTTTGGAGACACTGTTACAGCTGATCCCAGCATATGGAGGCTATACTTTAGCCTGGCTGGCTTTTAATGTGCATTGTTTGTATGCTTCAAATTGGCACTATATTCACAGTTCTTCCTACACACAAACTACGCAGGTTGTGGGCTCCCAAGGGCAAGACTGTTGGCTTACATTTTATAGCTGTTTATTAGAGAAGCCCACAATACATTTTTAAAGAGTGCAGCTTACCCCAGTAGGCCTGAACATTCTCTGATGTTCAGTTGAAGTGTGACTGGGCACATGTAACAACAATGAGCTATGTTATTTTACTGCCATCCATATTGACATTGTAGCAGCAGGCATGACAAAATGGCTTTGATGCGCCTTTACCCATCAGGGGCTGAAAAAGGGATCAAAAATATTTGGAAGCTTTCTCACACTTGCTTGTTGCTGCTGGAGTTCACAGGAGGACTAGGCTAGCTGACTTTCTACCATCGGGTGAATCTGAAACATCTCCAAACTCACTATGTAGCCTGTTATGTAGGTAATGAAATAATGAACTCTACACCACAATGGGTACAAAATACAGAAAATTTAAAGCCATTTATGTTTTGACCATATGATGTAGAGCTTTCTATAGACACATAATACATTATTTGTGTTTAGAAGTCTGTGACATAAGTAGCGCCCTACGTAGAGAAGAACGGCTCAAAGTCAAACAAAACACATCAGGTTATGTTTTGATAATGGCTCCTAGAAGGCTGGGACTGACACTGGCTATATCACAGCCAACAAGAGGTCATAAATATAATGCATAAAAAAATAATGTGTTAAAAACAACACAGGCTGTGTTATTTTTACACATCCATGGATCTAGTGAAGGACCACACAATTTATGTTTTTTTTATAACAAAACCAACATGTTTTTTTTTTTTTAATCTCCATTAACACTGGCAGTGTGTTCAAATTTTTAACACAAAGATGTGATCTAATTACACAGCATGCGCATTAAGCCAGATTCATAAAACACACCGCCAGATTTACTGTGAATGTAAGAGCAAATAGTGTCACAGTAACATGTTCATTGATACACAAAGATTACTGACCTGCTTTTCCGCTTGCATGATTTAAGGCTCTGACTTGCTTTTCCTTCATTTACATGTGCCAGTAGCGATTCATAACACGACACAAAAAATAACACCTGAACAACTTTCAGGCTTTCAAATTAACTGGCAAATTTAACTGGCATGGTACATTAAACGGCCTCTTCTTCATACGTCAAATACAATGGCCAACCCCCCCCTCCTGTGTGTGGGAAGTAGGTTTAGCTTGGAAAACAAATAAATGTTTAAAATAAATCAATAATATTAATAACAACAACAACAGCAATACTACTACTACTACTACTACTAATAATAATAAATAACACAACACATTTGCTAGTTTGCAGTTCACCTTTACAATTTCAAAAATACTTTTTTCCATTAATGTTACTATTACATGTCAATTTGCTATAAAATTATGTTACCCACGCTTAATGACATCTAAATATTAGCTACATTGGCATAGCGAAATAGCGCCTGTCTAATATTAGCTAGGCAGCTAGCCTACAGCTTTCTGGGTAATATGAACACAGTCAGTCTTTTGTGACTTTTTTTCAGTATTAGCTACAGATTAGACTCATGGTTATGTGAGGATTTGCAACAAAATTACACTACCTGTGCTTCATGATGGCAAGAGCTTCTTTACAAAGCTAGCATGTTCAAAAGAGCTTGCTAACATTAGCTCGATAGCATGTAGTTTTTAGCATGATGTGTTCAGCTGACAACTTTACACATTCTTTGTTTCATTAGCTAACTAGTGTTACCTCTCCAGCAACCTCTCCAGTGTTATTTTGAATGAAAGAAGGTCTTTGCCATTGTGTAGCCAGAGCCAGCTACAGTCTTTTTTCTTGTTGTCGCTAATGTTAGCTAACTTGGCTATGCGATTATCAGTAGTCTATTAAAAGCTAAATTAGCTTTCTGGGTAGATACCTTTACCTTACACACTTACTAAAGGGGTTATTCAGTAAAGACAGTTGTTCTATTTAGAGTAATGAGATCTACATAGAACCATTTCATGCTTAAATGTTTTTTGCATGGTCAAGTGGTTCTTCAGACTGACAGAGAGTGTGTCGTATATGGCTCTGTATAGAACCTTTTTGAAAATGGTCCTATATAGCACCAAAAAACAGTTCTTATAAGCTTGACAACCAAAGAGCTTGACAACGTAACAACAGCAGAACGCTTTTTAGTGCTATATAGAACCATTTTCATATACAACGCATGCTCCATCAATGTGAAGAACCATTTCACCATGCAAAGAACTAAGCATGAAATGGTTCTACATAGAACCATTCTCTTTACTGAAAAACCCTTGGAGAACCGTCTTTTAATGCATATACACAAAATGTCCGTGTTACATTTTAACCTCATGCTAGTTTGTGCCCCACTCTCTCATAAAGGAATATATAATTGGAATATCTATAAAATATAACAAATTTTTATACTATATAACAAATGTTTTTAGCAGATCCTCATTTGTACTGAGCATACAGTTACTATAATAAGAACTGATATTGTGAAGTAGGGCAGAAGGATTTGCAATTGTTTTCAGTAAATTAATTTCTCCGCTTAGAATTTTCTAAGACCACATGGTTGATAATGTGGGCTGTAACTACAAGTGCAGCTATTGTGATTGTATTCAATATAAAATGGGTAACACTTTCTATTAATTGTCACGTTTATAAGCATCTAGAAACACATTCATAACATGTTATAATGCATTCATAAAGCATCATAAACATGGCTATAAATGCTTATAAAAATGCATTACACGTTATAGCCATGCTTATTATGCTTTATGAATTGTTAATATTATGCATTAAAAGTAGTGTTCATAACAAATTATAAGAGCTCATAAGTTGTATTTGTCCGCTCTAAGTAAAGTGAAGCGTACTGTACTAAAGCCTCCTCCAGTGTTAAGAGTGAGGCTTCAAGTTGAAGTATTTACTGAAGGATTTACTGAAACACTAAAACATAAACAGTAAAGCACATTACAGGCTTCAAATGTCAGAGTTTAAACTAGTGCTGTCATCAGTGTTTTACCCAATGTGGGAAAGGTAATGTACACCACCGTTAGCTTGGCACTAACTTAACACTGCATATCTAATAGAATGCTAGCAGAAATTAGCATCACTGTAGTGTAGTGTAGTGTAGTGATGTTACAGAGTGAAAGGTTCTAGCTTTGCTTGATGTTAGAACCAGCGAGGGAACAAATTACAATGACAGCGCTCTACTATCTCGCCTCTCTCTCAATGCCTTCATAGTAATTTCATGCTCTGTGTGATGTCAGAAGGAGTTCAGAGGAGGGGCTGATGGGTACTTGGTTTGCTGTGATGTAATGCAACATTTAAAGTGAGAACGCTGATTAAGAAAAGCACATTGTAGCAATAACTCCAGGCTGGACAGCCTGTTTGGAGCATCTGAATATTCAGGACTGAAGCGCTGACGATGCAGCCCCAACAGCACCAGAGGTGAGAAATAAAATATTGAAGATCTCAAGGTGTAAAATAAACTTTGTGTATTTGTCTTTACTTTACGCTCTCCAAACTGGGACTGACTTCATTGGCACTGACAGTATAACATGTTATTAACACTACTTATAATGCATTATATTAACAATTCATGATGCATACATGGCTATAAAGTGTAATTCAGCATAATTCATTTTTATAAATATTTATATCCATGTTTATAATGCCTTATGAATGCTTTGTGTTTATAGATGCTTACAAACATGATATTCATAGAAAGTGTTACCATAAAATCGATCAGTCTTTCAGCTCTACTGTTAAAAACCTCATTTCCATGACCAGAAATATTAAGTCTTTTGTTGAAAGCTGGAAAAATGGTTCATTGTTGGCTGTTTATCAAATTATTGCATAGCATCAGGATTTTTTTTTTTTGTGCCCTCTGAAGAGATCCTGTTTCCATGTTGATGCTCATTTGACCTTTAATTTATTGCAAGGCAAAATGTTAAGACCCAGACAAAGTGTAGGAGTGCTTTGTTTTCAGGGTGCGAAATGGAGTTCATGTTTATCGGTAGTTATACATTTCATATTAATAGATTTTTCATGGAAACTTCTGTGAGAAAAACACACAAACACACACACAGAAAAATATATTGTAAATATATTTTGTATATATTGCAATTATTTTTGAAAAAATACATACAAAGTAATTTCCAGAGGAAGAAATAGTTACATAAAGATACAGTACAGAAATGTGTTTTAGAAGTGGAAAAAAATCCTGTCAGTTTGCAGTCAGTCTGTCAGTGTCGATGCCTGACGTCATCATACTAAGATGTCAGTCACAGGTATGTTCTGACTTCTCACTGATGTGTACTTCACTGGTGGAGGAGGAGGTTTGAACGGGGGAGGCATATCCATTCTGAAGAATGAAGAAAGACAGAGGGGGTTTAGAGACCAGACAGACAGACGGAGACAGAGATGACGCACAAGCCCTTTGATGTGTCTCTCACCTTTTTTGGATGAGGTACCTCCTGTATAGAAAGCCAATCAGCACCAACAAGAGAATGACGGGGATGAGAACATATACCGCGTGTGTCTTACTGCCACTTTGATCTGCAACAAAGAGAAAGTGAGACAAGTTAGTAGTGATAAAGTACATTAGAGATAATAGAAAAATGAAAGACTTCAACACAATCTTATTATTGTTCTCCAAAAAAGCCCAAGCATCTCAAACATAGTGGCTTTACAGGATAAGGCAAAAATATCCTTAACTTTTAATGTAAGGTAGTGTAAAGAGATTTTATTTTAGATCATTTTGGATCATTTCCACTGGTTCATTAATCATAACATTTTGAGACAATGTAAAGGAAAGCTAGGTACTAAATTACCTAGAAACATGTTTATTTTTTTTTTATTTTTTTTTGCAATTTTGGTTGCTTAAAGATCCTTCAATTGATTTTAAAAGATTTTTTTTTAAAAAGGAAAGGTCTATTAAAAGGCTTTTTATGAAACCAAAAGCTTTTTTTATGGCAGTGCTTCTTAGGCTGTTTTTACTCCTAGTTAATTTTTCTAAAATCTGGTAAATTCTTGACAATTTTTAAAAAAATGTTGGTTTGTTTGCTTTCAGAAATTGACTTTTTGCCTATTTACTTTTTGAAATCTATATTTTATTTCAACTTTTACTACATTAAATCCAGATCTCACTTATGTTCTTGGTACAATGTACTGTCATATCTATTGTGTTGTATTTAAGGAATGAAGTCGCTTGATGTCCACATGTGATGCGATCAGAGTCATAAAAATAAACTCATAGCTGATGTTGAATTCTCTGGTTTGGTGTGAAACATTGTAAAAATGTGTTTCTACCAGAAATGATCTGAACCATGGTTCTCTTGGGCTGCGTTCACATTACCAGGTTGAAGTGGCCCAAATCATTCAGCGTTTCCATGGCAACAGTATGTTAAATATTTGCCTAAGTTGCGTAAATTGGGAGAAATAAATGCGGATTTGACCGTCCTGAACGATGTGCAATCTATTCCACGTCTTCAGGAAACTGTTGTAGGACAGTAAAACAAGTAGTGATTAGTGAATTGATGAATCAGCTTCAGTGTGTGAAAATAAGCCCTGGACCTTATGAGAACCTTATTTGCATATCATTTTCAAGGGACCCGCCCCAGTTTGCGTCATATACATTCTACATCTTTTGGTCAGTTTATGGCCCAGACTAGGCCCAGTTGTGTGGTTCACTTTTGGCTGACCTGTGGCCCTAATCTGGCACAGATGTGGCCCACATATAGTGACCAGGAGCGGTCCACCCAAGTGCCGTCAATCCATGGGACAGGTGGGCTGGATAAAAATGGGGAGTGGGATGTGGGCCTTAATAATTTTGCCATCTGAAATGACTCTGATGCGAATCTGTTTCAGATATGGACCACATCTTGTAGTCAGCTTCTGGCCCAGATTAGGCCCAGTTGTGTGGTTCACTTTTGGCTGAGTTGTGGCCCTAATTTGGTACTGATGCAGCCCACGTCTAGCAATCAGAAGCGGTCCGCCCAAGTGCCGCCAATCCATGTGGCAAGTGGGCCAGATGAAAATGGAGCATGTGGGCCAGATCTGGCCCAGAATAATTTTGCTATTTGGGATTAAGGACATTCACATTTATGCAGATGTTTCGATGGTGAGTCAATAAATGAAAAGTATTTAGCAGCTCATAAGCCAGTGGTCGTCCTCATAGGCAAAGTTTGGAGTTGAGCAGGGCACGCACTGCCCCCCCAACTGGCCAGAGGTTAAAAGTCTTTACAGTGTTAAAATTACAACAATTGAAAAATTGTAAAATGAACAAAATGTGGCTTTTTTCAGAATTTAGAGTGATGTGATTGTGTGTTGTGATCATCCTCATAGAACACTGGTTGCTTGGGTGATAGTACTGCAGTATATCACCTATATCAAGCAGCTTCTACTCTACTAGGTAAGCTCTGTTTTGTATTTTCAGGGAGGTATTTCTATACTGTATCAGTAGTATAAAGCTGTAAAGCAAAAGTTTTTGATAATCAAACAAATCGAACAGATATGCCAAATTCAATGAATTACACAATCATCTGTGAAATTTGCACACACTTATTTTGCAATTATATTTGACTGCACACAACTTTGATGAATAATAGCCAATGTTCCAACGTATCCAACCAAATACTGTATATATTGTAGTGAAGCCCTCAATTATTGTGATGTTTTGCCAGATTGCCCAGCCCTATGTACCCCTAACCTACCATGCACATTTTTAACTGTTGTTAAGAAGTTCTCTTCTGTCAAAGTGAACTTGAAGATGGTTTCTGGGTGAACAGGGGTGGATCCTTCTCTTGTAGACCCTGGGCTGGATGTCTCATTCTGACAGCAGCCCGCAGACAGTGTGCTCCCTTCAGCTGATGTGTACAGAGAGGTTGTGGTTGAGCTCTCCGATGCATGTGCCGCTGTAGAGCTTGCATGTGATGTGGTGATGTTTCCAGCAGAGGGAGTAGTGGTGTCGATATACCCTGGCTGTGATGTCATTGTCGAAATCCCCGGCTCTGCAGTTGTCAGAGTTGTGCCTTCTGTGATCTGGGATGTTGTTTCCATAGTAATGGTGGTGCTCTGGTGTTCTTCATTTTGATGGACAGACAAATACAAAGATGAGTTAATAAATATATGGTGTCACATGAGAGTGAAAACTTAGCAACAAATGCATTTTTAAACAGAAAGGTTGCTTTCATTTTATAACTTACAGTTATTGCACATGAATAGTATTTAACCCTAATTATTGTTTTCATTTTGCTATACTATTCAAATATAATTGCCTAATTACATATATTTCATTCCCTGGCATGTTATATAATGAATTACAATCACCCTCGCTTTATGTTCATAACAAGACTGCATGCCCAACAATTTCAAATTCACATTATTGTAAAATATCTGCTCTTCTATCTACGAATATAAATGAGGTATCAATTAAAAGGGAGTTCTGGGAGAAATTCTTTCAATTAACCACCATTGACAAGTAATTAATATTGAATTATATCATGCTCAATTCTTATTAGGGTAAAGCTGATTTCTGGGATTCAAAGTAATTCTGAGATGTTTACAGACCAGGACCTTTCACATTCTCAGTGACCTGAGGAACAGCTGCCTTACATATCGCTGCTGTAGGAACAAAACCTTGTATCTCCAAAATGACAACTTTACAGGAGAAGGAAAAAACCTACTTTACTTTTATTGTAAGTCAATGGAACCAGACTTTTTTTACAAGTAATTTTGGGCCGTTTCTTTTGGTCCATTCACTATGAAACTTACACACAATGTAAAGGACAAAAGGTATTTTCAAATTATGTCAAAAACTGAAAAATGACAAAAATGCGAGGTTTTCTTCCGACAGAAGTGATATACCATTTCCCTACATATCACATTAATGCACAAGCATCATAATTCATTAATTGTTCACTTTCAACCACAATTTCCAACACTGTTCACTAACGTCTTTCCCATCGATGTAAATGTAGAAGTCACTTTAGTCACTGTTCCTTCTTGATCCAAACTCAAGGGACATCTTGAGCTGCTCAGCATTTGCAGGGCCTGTTTACACCTCGCCTCAGTTTCTGGTCATTGGATGGTGTTTAGATTTCACTTGACCACATGAAAAGCCGGCGTAAACACCCCAAGACACTTTGTGATTGACTAATGATCTGATCACTCAAACCAAATTCACGAGTGGTCAGTAACAGATTTTGATCACATTTAACACAAAGGTAAACAGAATGTGTTTTTGTTATCTGTTTACATTTCTCTAAGAGGAAATGCGTGTCCTGATTGCTGAGTTTTTTCTCTGTCCTGCCACCCAGGTGGTGGAACGAACTCCCACTGGCTGTCCGTACAGCAGAGTCTCTCGCTGTCTTCAAACGCAGACTGAAGACAGTCTCTTTATCCAGCACTTAAGTGAGCACTGAGTTAAGTATTCATTGTAATGTATTGTACTGCACTTATTGAAATGTATTGTATTGTATTGTATTGTATTGTATTGCACTGAGCTGACGTTTTGTTTCTAGCAGTATCTGAGCTCAGGACCAGCTTTCTCTCTAACCTATTGGTAACTAGCAAAGATAATTTCTCTGGGTAGAGAAAGCAAAGCACTTTTTGTAAGTCGTTCTGGATAAGAGCGTCTGCTAAATGCTATAAATGTAAATGTAAATGAGTGGTACGTGAGAGGATAAACCAGGAACTGAAAATGTAGGACACACGAGACTGTAGTTCCCCAAACCAACAGCCTTCTGGCACGCTGGGCCGATGAAAGCATCCAAGCCCAGTTTGTCGACTCAGTTTTCTAACTGTAAATAAGTACAAATCCTCTACAGAGAACACACTCCTGTACATTTAATGCCCAATTACTGTTTAATTGCTGAAATTAACATACAAGGAAGAAATAAAACATAAAAAACTGGCCTGTGCAAAAGTTATAAGCACATTTTATTATTTACTATGTTCATTTTTTGCCAATATGTTAGACTCAGCAAATAATTAGAAATTGTGCAGAAAAAGTGCCATATTTAACTTTGCTACCCGTAGAACATGTGTTTCACTTAGAAAATAAAAAAAAAACATGTAATGATTTAAATTGACTGGGGGATGTCTAAACCTTTGCATACAAGTGTATGTATTTGTATATATAGGGTATATATCATATATATGGTACAGTGCAAAAGTGTACTGTGTTGGCAATCAATATATTTTTGCTTGTGAAACCACACACCAGTAGAATAGATGCAAATGAACACAAATACAGTAAAAAGTAACAAGAATATAAAAAAGTAATTGATTTCTTATAAGCTAGTCTGAAGAACAAAGTTTGGTTCCAGATGTCTCCTGGAGGTCTCTAGCCATCATATATTAAATGATAATTACAGATAGTACTGAGCTGCCATGAGGAGAGGTATGTAGAATAACTACTTAGTATATTAATATTATTTGTATTTATTCAAATATTGTTGTTTTTTCTAAATAAATACTTACCGCCCAAATAAACAGCTTTATACATATATATATATATATATATACATATATATATATATATATATATATATATATATATATATATATATATATATATATATATATATATATATATATACACACACACATATATACACACATATATACGCATACATACATATATACACACTGATGTTTTTCAGTTTTTGACAGTTTGGTTCCATTGACTTACATTTAAAGTAAAGTAGGTTTTTTTCCTTTTCCTGTAAAGTTAACATTTTGGAGATATGAGGTTTTCTTCCGACAACAGAGGTATATATACACACGTCAGAAACATTTCTGAAACAAAATACATATATTATAATATGTATATGTATATGTATATGTGTATTATAATTATATATTATATAGATTATTGATTTTCAGCATTTATTCACAGGTTATTCTAATAAGGACTCTTATCATGAAGGCGGAGGGAACTTTTTTTGCCTTCTCCTCTAAAGTTACTACTTTGGAGAAACGTTTCAATACGCATTTATAGATATTTTAGCCCAAACACTGATAGATGTGTTGTGAGATTGATATTTGGTCTTAAGTGCTGTGCTGCATTAGCATTAAGACAACTGTTTACTTTTTTCAAGCTGTTGTCATCATGTGAAATTGAGTGCTATGGTACATTCATCTGTCCCCTTGCTTAAGAGGCTTAAACAAAGATTTGAGCTGAGCTGAGGTTCTTTGGCCTCTGTATTAAAGGCAAGAGGGCAGGAAGTGTATGTCTCTGCTTCAACTTTAAAACAAACCGCAGTGAGGTCAGAGGAGCCTGCAAACACTGATGACCTAGAACACAGCAAACAGCAAGCTGAGTTTGGTAAGGGTATTTTTTGACCAAACAACTGAGGGAAATAACTGACAGAGCGTAGATAGAGATAAGAATAAAGGTCTAAATGTCTTGTTTCAGATTTACAAATTGCACTTCAGCCTTATCAGAGTGATGCCTCATTCAGTCATTCCGTAACTTTCTCTTCCCTCACCAGCATACGTCCTGTTGACTACAGTGACCACAAAATCTCTCCGTCTCTGGAGGCGGCTTTGGTTTCTTGCATGGACGATCAGAGAGTACATCCCAGAGTGGTCAGGACTCACTAACCACAGGCTTAAAGTGGCTTGGTGGGACACTATCCTGTTCCCCTGTGGGAAGAAAACACAATCCATGTGAAAGGCCATCTGACTGACCATCTCAAATTTGCTAAATATTTTCAGGAAACATTGGCATTGTGTCCAGCAAATCTTAGGCTTGTATCTGCAGCAGTTTTTGAGATAGAAAGGCTTTAAAAAGTGCCCATGGATTTTGATTTTGCCATAAAGTGTGTGCTTCAGGAAAAGGTGCAGACTTAAGGCAGCACTGTGCAGTTTTAGCCCGATTTTCATGATGGGCCGAATTTCAGCTTCATCGTTCCATGCAGTGTGAGAGGAGAAGCGATGCCCGAACGAGCTCCGACTGAGCAGTCGGACGATCGGATGGATTTCTGACATGTCAGAAATTTCGGTCGCTTGCCTCACAGTCTGAGCAGCCTCACAAAACGATTTCTCAAAGTCGCACCCAAAACTACACACAATCACAACCACCACTCCTGCATGGAGGCAAAAAAGTCCACATTTGCGGCACCAACATCCTTATATGACGACTTTGCTCCGTTTGACTGAGTTGAATTGCGAGGTATAAATAAATACGGTTGATTTTGTCTGTAGAGCTGTCTGTAGACCGCCTGGTCTTCAGCTTCAGTACACTGTGTAGCACAAGTTAGCAAAGCTGTTGTAGCAATTTGTCAGTGGCTGAATCTTAAATGGCTCCTATTTCCTATGTAGTGCACTAATTTCTGGCTTCTTCCCCAAAATAGTGCACTGTTTGTCCAGTATGGAACTGTGCACATATGCCTGAATCTCAGAAGGCTATTTATTAGACATGTGATGCACTTTATGGGTGCAGGAACAACTATTTTAATTTGTGATGCACTATGTAGGGGGCAGGGAGCCACTTGAGATTCAGCCAATGTTTTTGCTTGGGATTCAGAGGCGCAGCGTGTTGTTTTGAATAAAACAGCTTTATCGGACATTTTAGACAGAGTTGTCTGTAGGGGCTGCGTTTCATGTGCAGTGTGAGCACATGTACATCAGATCTTTTAAATTTTGGTATTCATTACTCATTTCATAGTAATCATTTGCAAATTAATTTCAAAGAAATAAAGGTTTCGCATTTATGAGTCAAAAAAAAAATGTAAACTGCATCATATGTATATTTCTGATGTGTACTGCTAATGTCTGACAAGATCCAGCATAAATAAAATCAAACATTGAACACACTGCAGTTAAGAAATGTAACAAATATGAAGTGTTTATCTTAATTATAATTTTGAAAGTGACATTTAACTAACTATTTGATTGTTTAGCCACAGATGGAAATGCTATTATACTGTTATGAAAACATACAGTGAAACGCTTTCACAGTTAGTTTGTTAGTTTCTTGGCTGTAAACAACTGTGTTACCTTAAATAATCCTTCATCTTTGGCATCATGCTCCACTGGAGAATTGTTAAAAATATACTGACAACTGTCATAAACTAGATTATGTAATAAACCAAAAGGTTAACTTACTCAAGTTAGGCATAAAATACTGTTTAGAGCTTTTTCCATCAGTGACAAGTATAGATTATATGACCTTTACTTTCATTTATTATTTTTTTATTTATATAGTGCCTTTTCCACACTTAATGTCATTTTACAATTATAGTTGCAAACAACTAACAATTAACAATTGCAAATTAAAAAAAATATTGAAATGCTTTTCTCTATGGTACAAATTATTTTGTGGTTAAATGTAGTAGAGGCGTGGCATGATCATTTTCCTGAATGAAAAATGTTTATTACTTTACGATTGACACCTACATTGAAAAAAAGCACTTAGATATGAGTAGTACATTCAAAAAATACCTGAACTGTATTAGTGAGGAAATATATAGAGGGGCCAAAGCTGCTCCAACGTAAAAAAAAGGGGGGAAAAAAGACCACACCCACTTTGGAAAGCCCCTGTATATTAGAAACTAATCAAGATACCAACCATTCCAGGCTAAAAGGCTTAAATGTCTTGGGTGCAATGGCATTACTTTCTGAAAGTGCTTCAGGAACTTTTTCTAAAGTCCAGTGATTTGAGGCAGTTCTCCATTACACTTTAAATATAATGCTAATGCGCATAAACATTATTTATTTATGTTTTTTAGCTACCCTCAATGTTGAGATTGTGAATTACCTGATTCCAGATGTACTGTAAGGGTTTTGAAGACCTCGCCTCACACGTTATTATCAGATTTGTTCCAGTCTCAATCTGTATCTGGCTGCTGGAATTGCACTCAATGCTGTCAAGAACTGTTTGGCAAAATGAGAATAACAGCATATTTATTTCTGTATTTCTATTTCATCATTTATAAGACATAAGACTTTTTTGCTTCTTCCGATTACACATAGTTTAGCCTTGATTTACTCTGATAGTGAAGTTTGTGGAAATATATGTAACCAAAGACACTTTGTGTGATACTCACAGTCCACGGTCAGTTGCACAGGCGCTGTGAGGCTTTGCAAGTGTTGGTTTGATGAGGTCCAGAGGGGACGACAGATCAGGTCATTGCAGTGGCGAGTGACATTCTGTATTGTGAAATGTCCACTCTGACTCTCCAGTGAGAAATTGCTCTGCGGTGAGGAAAAGAAAGGAAGGAGTTGGATGAAGTGATGTTGGGTTCATGCAGATGGTGACACAGTCTTGAAGGAGCAGTGCCATAGAAGAACCACACTGGGTCTCTCAACCTTTCAACAAAAACTTCTTTAATGGACCACATACGTAAATGAAATGTGTGAAAAGTGATTGTAAAGTGTAGCTCCTTTTGCAAGGTCCCCTTGTGGCCATTCCACCTGCAGAATCTTTTTTATTTATTATGATCAAATTAAATATTTTCCCCATCTGTTATCAGATTAACTAGGACATGCGTTTACATGCACTCAACAGTCTGATCATAATCAGATTTCTGCAGTTATCTGATTATTTAAATGGTCATTTAAACAGCAAACTCTGATTTCTTAGATTGGAGTATGGTCTAGAAATCTGAATTAGAAATCTGATAAAGAGGCTGGATTTTAGCTCAGTAATCAGAATTCTCAGTGCATGTGAACTCTTACTCTGATTTCTTTCGGATTTCTCAGTCTGCGCAGGTGCGAAAACAGACGGCGGTACCGGAAATAAGTGAGCAGTGATGCTGTGAGATGCAGCAAAACACTTTTGGAACGACGCTGAAACCAAATACGTGCTTGACGAAATGAAGGATTTAAATATTCTTCCTCTTCTAGATGATGTGTGTTCATATTTTCAGGTAAAGTGGTGCTATTTTTAAAAACAGTTTACGTTACGTTTATGTCACGTCTTCTTCTGTGAGTTTATTGGATGGTTGCAAAGCAGAAATCTGTTTATGATGTCTGATTCATGTAGACCTGGAGTTTCCCCATTATCTGATTACCCAAGTGCATGTAAACATGTTAATTGGATTACTGACAAAATCCGATTTTCTGTCTTTTTCGGATTATAAAGTGCACTCGTACTTCAGATCTTTCAAATTTTGGCATTCATTACTCATTTCATAGGACTCATTTTTCTTAAAGAAGTAAAGGTTTCACGTTTATGAGTCATAAAAAAATGTAAACGGAATCATACGTATATTCACGAAGTGTACTGCTAATGTCTGACAAGATCTAGCATTAAATAAAATTAAACATTGAACACACTGCAGTTAAGAAATGTAACAAATATGAAGTCATTATCTCAATTATGTTTGAAAGTGGCATTTAAATAACTATTTGATTGTTTAGCTACAGATGGAAATGCTATTATACTGTTATGAAAACATACAGTGAAACGCTTTCACAGTTAGTTTGTTAGTTTCTTGGCTGTAAACGTGCTTCAGGAACATTTTCTGAAGTCCAGTGATTTGAGGCAGTTCTCCAATATACATTAAATTTAATGCTAATACGCATAAACATTATTTATGTTTTTTAGCTAGCCTCTAATTCAGACAAAATCGGATTTTCTGTCTTTATCAGATTATAAAGTGCATGTAAATGCACTCCCTGTTGGCCCTCCCTATGTAAAATGCTGTGACTCTGTGTTTAGCCACTAGCGAGCAATGAGGGGAGAAGAACCCCCTGTAGCGCTGAGATCAAATGGACAGCACAACTGCAGTTTCTTGATATCAATACACACAATAAAAACACTTTCATGAATGTTGACTTGCTTATTACTAACCTACAAATATGGAAATCCAGCATCAGGTTTTATAAATAATACACATTTCCATTGAAATACATTACATCAACACTACTGAAGAAAAAATAAACCATTGTTCAGGGACTTCCTTGAAAAAGGAGGAAATGGCATTTTATGGCTACAGTGGAAATGGGTTATAGGACCTTCTCATGATATAAAGGTTTTTCGTAGAATTTCAAGCAAAGAACCACTTCATTTTTAAGGATGTAAGCTGCTGCTCTCTGACTGCTGTTCTTTTTGCTCACCTGTAAAGACAGCACTCTGTAACGGTCAGCTGGAGGATGACTGGCACATGTGATCTTCACCTCATCCCCCTCTACCAGAGACCCGACTGGGGACTCTACTTGCGCTGAGATCCATGGCACTGGGCCGAAAAACAACACAAATCCACACGATGTTCAGGTGGAGATATTTGCCCAAAAAGCACTTATTTGACCGCCTTTAAGGATGTGTGAACTACTCTGCGTCTGATTCATGAATCTTTTATATGACTCGAAAAGAAGCAGAGATTTGAGTGCAAATGATGGATCAGCTTCAGTGCATGAAATCCAAGCCAGCCTATCACATTTACATATCATTTACATGAAACACATGAATAAAATGACAGTGTTAAGCAGCTCATGAGCCAATGGCTATGCTTATGGGTGGAGTTTAAGCAGTGAGTGCAGTTCTCCTCTACTGACCAAACTTCGTAGTGCTAAAATTACAACAATTGTTAAGAATATAATGTGAAATAAACAAAATGTCTCAGTTTTTTTTTAAGATGGAATAATAACAGATTTACATGCATATTACTGCAGTGTATGTTTTACATTTTTTAGTTTTATATGACAAACTGTTGGTGAAATTTGCTTGCACTCACTTTACATTTATCATATTTGAGTGTACACAATATTGATGAACAAGAGCAATTGAATATCATTATCTACAGTTCAGTATTAACAGATTTTCTTCTCTTTTGGTATTCGTCTCCCCCCTCAACCCCTCAACCATTATTAACCTTAACCCCTTGTGTGGTGTTCAGGTCTGGGGGACCCATTTTTAATGTTTACCAAAAGAAAAAATGATGTGGTTTGTATTATTTCAACCTCAGATTCTTGGCCTTTGCTCATTTTCTGTGAAGAACATATAAAATAACCCATTTTCAGTGTCTTCACTCTGTTCACCCCCCACACATTTATATTACACATGTGGTGTTGGGTGAACCTGCGGGGAATTAAAGTGTGGAGGTGCTGTGTCCTTCACTCTGTTCTCCTCCTACATGGCCTGCTGGTAGTATGTGTGTGTGTCTGTGTGTGTGTGAGGGTGGACAACATGGACAGGCTGCTGACTGGCTACAGCTGCTAAAGGAGAACCCTATGCTGGACACTTGTGATATTTTAAACATCTGGTATTTTTACATAAATTGTTATGGCTGTATTGATTTAAAAAACAATAATGTGGTGGGTCCACCAGACTACTGAGTATCAAACACATCAACACCACACAAGGGTTAAAGTTGAGGACATAAATGAGGAATAATCACATGCATTGAGAATTTACCTGTGACTTGCACTTTTGTGGCCTTTTTGGTGGATCCGTGTGGAAAAGAGGTGATCTCACAAACATAGTTCCCTTTGTCCTCCTCTGTAACTCCAAACAAATGCAAGATGGAGCCTTGTAGAACTGTGTTTGTTTGTCTCACCAGCTGCAGTGTGACATTCTCTAAATAGTAAGGCTGAAATTGAGGATTAAACACCACAAGTTTTTTGTTATCTCCTCTTTCTCCCTCTCTATGCCATTCCAACTGGTTGATCCTTATATTTTCCTCATCTGACACGATGCAGGGCAGGCTGATGTTCTGCCCTACTGTTGCATTTAGCGATTCCTCATGTTGTATCTGGAGGCTTCGGGCTCCTGTTGATCAGTTTGAAGAGCATAAGTCAGAGATTCAGATAGAGATTCAGGTGATAAAGATAGGCAGAAAGAAGAACACTGAAGCAAAACTGTACAAACTGCATATATATACTAATAAGAGCTATAAAACTTGTTTTCACAAGCCATTAACAAAAGCATGAAAGCATTTGGAGAACGTTCCCACCTGAAACACTGTAAAAAATGAGAGATCAGCTCAACTTAAAATTAAGTGGTGACGCATTACACTGCTTTTCTTGAGGACACTGGAGTTCACCCAACTCAAACTTCTTTGTTTAGCCAAAACTCCCTTTTCTAGGTTGTAGTTTTAAGAAGAAAAACAGTTTCCCCAGTACACTGTTAGAAATAAAGGTACTATACAGGTACATTTTTTGTTCATCGTGGTACAAATAATGTAAATGATCCCTCAAAAGGTACAACAGTGGTTTTAAGGTCCAATTGTGCACCTTATATAAGTTTTTTTTCCAGATGAAAAGTACATATTTGTACTTTTTCATAACCTAATATTTTATAATAGAACAAAAAAAAAAAGCCTGGAGACGAGACGGGGTGTGTGGAGTCAGTACAACTTAGAAAATATAATTTCAGTGGATTATGGTTCAGTTATGTTCCCTGATTAAGGGACTGAGATGTAACCTTGAGGGTTCCACCTCAGTGACAACAGTGACAGTTTAGTATCTTTATTTCCGAGAGTGTAGCTGGAACTCTTTTCATCACACAGTCCCACCAAGTATTTTCCCATCTTGGGCTTCTATGGACGCTTATGCAATCACAAGGGGTTTAAACTCACAATCTCCTAATGTTGGGGTGAGTTCTTAGACCACTGCATCTCATGTTACTACATTACCTTTCAAAGTTAAAACAACATTTATAAATTTCACTTACAGTATATTATACATATTGGACCCAGAAATCTCATTTCAGGAGCTTGTGAGTGGAGCAGTAGACTAAGCATTCACCCCCAACACCAGGAGGTTGTGAGCTTAAACCCCAGTGATGCCATAGCCGTCCAAATCTGGGAGCCCAAGAGGAAAATTCTGCCTGGTGTGATTGTGTGATGGACAGATTCCCAGCTAGTGGGGAAAAAAAATTCTATACTGTTTACCTAACAGAACTGAATATGTAAGTTAGGAGAGCGTTTGACTAAATTAAGAAGTTTGTCTTGGGTGAACTCTCGTGTCCTTAAAATTGAAGTAAAATCAACAAAAGCTGTGTAATCAGTTACCTTATCATTTTTATTCGAGCCGACATTTTAAACAGTGTAATTACAAAATCTATATTCAACACAACAAACCACAGACTATAACATCTACCACACAGCACACGAGAGATTTCGAAAACCTGATTAGGTCTTATTGTTAACAGCTGAAAACAATCAAAATCTATTCATAGCAGAACATAGGTGAGATAGGTAGAAGATGTAAACTCATAAACCGTTAATAATAAGAGGTCTTGTAAACGTTGAAAGGCCCTCACCACATCAACCACACAAGACGCTAGTTTCTCAGGCAGTGAAGAAAAGCAGAATGGACTTATTGTTGCTTTGGAAAAGTAAGAATAATTCAAATCCCACTCACCTTGAACGACGTATATGAAAATCACAAAGCTGGTAGCTATCTCAGTCACGGCAGAAGCCATGTCTGTAGGAGCAACAGTTGGTTTTGCAGAAAGAACAGAAAATGACGCGCAGCACAGGAAGCGGCTACACCACACGAGAGACAGGAACAAGACCGATGCAGAACTGCAAACCTGCAGCAGCTTCTTTCCTCTCACTGATTATACCAGATACTAACATCACAGTATCCTGAATATATGACCCATGTGTGAGGCTTTAGTTCATTCACTCTTACACTCCTTAAAAAGATGGTTCTTTAAGGGTTCTTTAGTAAAGACAAAGATTCTATATTGAACCATGAACACCCGAAGAACCATTTTCATGCTTAAATGGCTCTTTGAATGGTGAAATGGTTCTTCAGATTGATGGAGAAAGTGTTGTATATGGTTCTACATATAACCTTTTTGTTAAGGGTTCTATTTAGGACCAAAAAGGGTTCTTCAATTGTTATGAGCTTGACACCGTAACAATAGCAGAACCCGTTTTGGTGCTATATAAAACCATTTTCAAAAAGGTTCTATATAGAACCATATACAACACTTTCTCCATCAATCTGAAGAACTATTTCACCATGAAAAGAACCATTTAAGCATGAAAATGGTTCTTTGGGGGTTCACAGTTCATAGTAAACTCTTGGGTTACACAGCCAAGCTGCCATGACGTGCAGAATGTGGCTTTGTCGTCTAAATGGGAGCATTTGTAGCTCCAAAATGTGTTCAGCAGGTTCCTTTACAGATACACGTTCCCCACTAATACCTCCCCATGACAGACCCTGGCTTTTGAACTTTACGCTGGTAACAATCTAGATGGTCTTTTTTTCTTTGTGCTGTAAAAAAATGAGAGGTCAGCACAACTTAAAATCATATTGTAACTGATTACGTGGCTTTTCTTGAGTTGACTCAACTTGAGGACCCCAGAGTTCACCCAACTCAAACTTCTTAGTTGAGTCAAAGGTTCTCCCAGCTACTGTTTCTAGGTCTGCATCTCAGTTAGATAAACAAAACTGAATTAGTGTTTTGTTTTACTCAATTTCCCCACTACCCAGCACTCCTTCTGTCACACAGTCCCATCTGGCATATTTTTCTCTTGGGCTTCTGGATATGGACAGCTGTGGCATTGCTGGGATTCAAACTCACAACCTCCTGATGTTGGGATCAATTATTAGACAGCTGCACCACATGAGACAATGCCATGCTTTAAAGTCAAAACAACAAATATTTTCTCCAGGGTATTAAATGTTTATAGACACAAAATCTGAGCTGTCCCACGTGTTCCTGAACAGTGCAGTGGACTAAGCTGTCACCCCAACAGGTGGTTGTGAGTTTGAGCCCCAGTGATGCCGTAGCCAACCATAAGTATTCACCCGAGAGGAAAAACGTCCAGCAGAATTGTGTGATAAAAAGAGCCCTGGCTAGCGGAGAAGCTGGGTATAAGAAACAAGTTCTTTTTATTTACCTCACTGAGATGCAGAACTAAAACCTTAACCTTTTGACTCAACTAAGAAGTTTAAGTTGTGTGAACTCTTGGGTTCAGTCAACTCAAGAAAAGCCATGTAATCAGTTACTGTATCATTTGAGCTGACCTCATTTTTTTAACAGTGTGGCCTGGAGAACACAACCTCCATTTTTTTTCCATAAACAGTCTGAAAAGTTGACTTGTCAGACCACAGTACTTGTTTCCACCGTGCATCAGTCCATTCCAGATGAGCTCATGTCCAGAGAAGTCGGCAGCATTTCTGGACACTGTTGACACTTAACTTGCATCAGTAAATGCAGCGACTGATGGTGTTTAAGTATCCTTGCCATGCAATGATATTCATCACAGAAACATGTCGGTTTTGAATGCAATGCCCCTCTCGTTTGTAATTTTCGGCCTTTTTGTTTACACACAGTGATTTCTCTTGATGTTATTTAGTCTTTTGATGTTATTATGCACAGCAAAGGGTGAAATACCTAAAATGCTTGCAGTAGCTCTCTGAGGAATGTTATTTTTAATCTGCTGGATTTTTTGCTGAGGCCCATAAAAGTCTAGGACTCTCCTGGATCCTCTTTTTATTATAGCCAAGCATGATTGCATCTCCTGTTTAAGTTGTTTTTCGAACACTTCACAATGTTCCTAGTCTTAAATTGCCCCTGTCCCGACTTTTTGGAGTGTATAACAGGCATCAATTTCAGAATGAATGAATGTTCACTAAAGCAATGACGTTTATGAAATATTACATGTACATATTTGTACTGTTTTTGTTCTTATAAAGTCAAAGTGCATGTATAAATCACTGCTCTCTATTTTTTCTTCATCAAGGTAAGAACAGTTGTGCACCTTAAATAAAAAGTATGTATTTGTATCTTTTCATAACTGAATGTTTTAAAACAGAACAACAAAATAAAAGCCTGGAGACGAGACGGGGTGTGTGGAGTCAATACAGCTTAGAACATATCATTTCAGTGGATTATGGTACAGTTATGTTCCCTGACTAAAGGCACTGAGATACCACCCCAGTGACAAGAGGGGCACTGCATCAGTGACAGTTTAGTAACTTAGTCTGAGAGTGTATAAATGTCGAGGAAGTTCAGATGTCATATTGTCTTTATGTCTGATTTGACACTTGACTATATTTAGATTTTTTAAAGGGAGAAATACATCTTTTTGGTTTTGTTGAGTCTTTTTGTCTACTTTGCTGATGTGTTTTTGTCTGAAGCACCACTGTGTCCCACAAACAATCATAACCTCATTGTTCTGTGTTTGACTTTGGTTTCCTGACACAAAGTGAAACCACACATACACAAACAGAGAAAGACAGAAGAACAGAAGCATATTTTCCTGTAAATCCAAAAAATTTTTGCTTATACTCAGTAAATGCTTGACTTCAAAACCGAAAATATTGTTTTCCAGAAAAAGTGAACAACTGCTTATGACCTATCAAAATCCCATTTAACCTAATGAGAAACTGACTGTCTGCTAAATTCTGACAAGTCTCCTTAAGTTGCTGTTGCTAAGTCCATCAACCTTTCAGCTCACGTTAGCTGGTATCAGTAGCACTTGTGCTAACAGAGTATCAAAGACACACTGTCATTGATGTGAAACACTGCTCTTATGAAGCACCAAAAGCTATTTGACTGCTGACGGCGCCCCTTGTGGAGAATTTTTAGCCTGCTAAAAGTGAGTGAGTTATTATGCTACACTACCAGCCTGGACATATGTTTCATAGCCAATCAAAACTAGTCAGGTTGGAAATGTCAATGATGCATTTGTTAAACTGTAAAAGCTTGCCTAACTTCACAACAGTTGCTACAAAAGAATACATTTGTGGGCGCAGCATGTATTGGTTAGAAATGTGAGTTGCATAATTAAACTAAATACATACAGTTATTTAAGGCCTAGGTTAGATTATTCCTATTACAAACCTCAATTCCAAAAAAAGTAGATACAGTTTGTAAAATACTTATAAAAACAGAAAGCAGTGATTAGTAAATTCTGTTTGACCTGAATTCAGTTGAAAGCACCAAAATATGATTTAATGCTTTACCTTATGAAGGTTTTTTATGTAAATATGATATGGTAAATATGATGCCTGGAACACGTTCCAAAAAGGTTGCGACAAAAACATGTTTACCACTCTGTTACATCACCTTTCCTTTCAACAACACTTAATAATCAGTGTTTCTTTTCTACCATTCTTCTGTCCTTCCATTATGCAAGACTACAGCTGTGCAACCATATGGAGTGTACGTTGTCATAATGCAACACACATGTGGAACTGGAGACAGGTCTGGACTGCAGGTAGGCCAGTCTAGCAGCTGCATTCTGATTACACAGCCATGAAGTTGTAATGCATAATGTGACTTGCTGTTGTCAGGAAGGAATAGGCATGGATGTCCATGAAAAAGACGTCATCTAGAAGGCAGCATATGTTGCTTAAAAAATGTTTTACCCATGCCATGGGTACAAATGCACCCCCATTACATAACAGACCTTAGCTTTTGAACTTTACACTGTTAACAATTTTGATGGCCCTTCTCTTCTTTGGCCCAGAGAACACAATGACCATTATCTCCACAAACAATCCGAAAGGCTGACTCATCAGACCACAATACACATTTCCACTGTGCATCAGTCCATTTCAGATGAACTCAAGCTCAAAGAAATCACCAGCGTTTCTGGGTATTGGCGACATATCGCTTCCTTAAATTGCATTTGTTGATTCAGTCATAAGCGATTTTTATTGACAGCAATTTGTCAAAGTATTCTCAGGCCCATGTGTTGATATCTATTATAGAAGCATGCCGGTTATTAATGCTTTGCCATCTGAGTGATAAAAGGTCATGGGCATTCAGTTGTGGTTTTTGGCCTAACTCTTTATGGACATTTCTGCAGAATCCCTGAATCTTTTGACAATATTGTGCACTGTAGGGGGTGAAATACCTACAATACTTAAACTTATAAAAGTTCAAAGGATAAAACATCTTGTCTTTGGACTATTTTCATTTAAAAACGAGTCAAATTTATAAATCACTGCTTTGTTTTTTATTCGTATCACATTCACAGTCCGAACATTTGTAGAATTGATGTTTGCGTATAACGAAGCATGCAGTTTATACGTTGAGAAAAGGCCAGGCAGTTCTCTTTATCCCCATCGATTAACTTTCATTTAAATTGCAATTAAAGTTTCAAAGCCCCACAGGCGCTAAGTATCATTGTTATGGATATTAAATGAGCGGCATAAACTTCTGAACAATTGCAGGAGAGTCCCAGTTGGCTGCGGTTGCATCCACGGTGGTCGTCCTTTATTGGATTGAGAATGCTGTCAGTTGGCCATCTCTAAATGATGTGTGACAAGGAATTGAGCTGGGGAGCGCTGTGGGTTTTAGTTGGACAAAGACGAACCTTTCTTGTGCTACTTTTGATGAGATTTATGCTGATAGATGCTCCTTGACAGCAGGATCACAGAGAGCATTAGTGAGGCCTGTTGTGTGCTGTGCAGGGATCGTGTTCACTTTTCTGAATGGCATTAAAGCGGCTCCTGCTGTGCTTTTATTTATGCCATTGCAGCACCCTTTGCCAGCTGCGCCTGAGGCACGTACCGCGTAAACTAGGA